TGTGTATAGGGCAGCCTTCCAAGAAATGTGTTACCTTATGAAGTTCAAGTAAAAAAGCCTAAGTTCATGTAGGGCTGCTTTAATCTACTTCAAAGCAGAATCTGCTTTTTAGTGTTTTAATCATTTTTTTTTAATTGGCACAGGCTAAAACCTGAACCACTAAAAGTGAAATAATGTGAATATGGTGCTTTATCTATGAACTATGCCTTTTCAAGGATTTACATTTGTCTGCCAGAGGAAACACAGCACAAAATATGTTTTAGTACGAAACAAAGTAAAGCAACAATGCAAAGTGTCTATACACTTGATGGCAGTTTAATTTCTTGAACCCAAGTCATATTTACACCATCTGGCCAAAAGTTGGTGGATATCTGACCATCACACTTGTGTGTATGTTGGACATCTATGAACCTTCCCCCTGACTCATTACAATATAAAAGGGTTTTCCAGAAGCAAGTTGTACTATAAAATGTGATGGAAGATATTTTGTTTGAAAGGTAGTAGCATTGCCATGGTTTGGCTGGAAAGCTGCTTTCTAAATGGGCCCCTTATTAAAAAGGTGAACATACTTAAATTTAGTCAAAATACAGCTAAAATAAAGAAGCCAAAAAAAAAAAAAAAGTTAGAAAGGCGATCTACTCACACATCTACTGCATGCTTCTTCCTTCTCTTTACTTTAGTCACATTTCTGGACTCACTGTAAGGTGTAGCCTCTTCAGGATTACTATGAGAAGTGGTCACATCTGTTTTATGCTTTTTATTTGCACCACTGGGGGATTGTTCCCCCGAGTCCAGTTCAGTTTGTCCATGATGTGCCAAAGACACAACAGAGGCCAGGTCTTCATGCTGGATAACAAAAAACAGATAGGCTTTGTAAGTAAACCCAATCACTAAAATCTCAAACTCTCCAATATTCCATATTTTTAAATCTGCAGCTTTCATTAAAATAACACTTGGTGATCCTGCCATAAAAGTCCTTGTTCAGGCACTTCCTAGTATAGGGTGAGAATGCTTTATCCCTGTCTCCCAAATGTGCTCCTGTGTTTTCACCCAATGGAGACTGTAAGGGGCTGTGCCAAAGCACTTTGCACAGGCATGTTGAAGTGTTGTCGCCTTCAGGAAATTTGTCATGCAGCAGTTACTGGAGTGAATGCCTTTGGACAGTGACTGCAAGAAATTAGCAGCACGAAGATGCAAAAAAGGATTTAAGAAAAAAAAAAAAAAGATTAGTGTTTCAATAAAACAAAGAAAAAACAGTTTAGGATACGTGGTGCTTTAGCAACCCAAGGGTCCCATCCACTCATCCAGCTTTAACCTGCATTTTACCAAACCGGAACGGCGCAGGTCACCACTTGTATACTGAAACGTATTGTTTTCTTTGCGCCCTGCTCACACCACAACACTGGTGTGATGGGCGGTGCTCTGTGGAAGAATGCAGCATGCTGTCTTTTTTCACAGTGCACTGAAAGTCACCGCTGGTCACCCAACGGCAGCGCAGTGCACTGTGCTGCTATGTGGGGGCCTAAATGGAGTGCACACATTGTTCACTACCAAAATATTTTAAAAAAATGTAAACAGTGACAGTGTGCAATATAACACAGCGTTTTAGCAGAAAGCGTCTTTCAGTTAGTGTTTGCGTCCCCTTTAAAGAGCAACTCAATCAATTATTAAAATGCTGAGCTATCTAGGTAACTGGCTGTACCAAAAATCAGAAAGCTCATTTAGATGGCTAAGAATCTGAAGCCCATTGCAGGTCATTTTTCTAGTTTGGCCAGTGTTACTGATAAAAAAAAGGCATTTTTTTCCCCTGTGATTTGTCATGTTATGTTTCTAGTAAAAACATTGCAAGGTTATTTACAAATAAAGTAAAAGGCTTTTAAAAAATTTTGTGCATTTGTTTTGATGCAACATTACAAATAAAAAACTAAATGAACGGAAATAAAAATAATTTCCCTATAAAATGGTTAAAAAAAACCATTACCAAAATATAAACATAACAATTATAGTGAAAGAGGAAGGAGAGACATACCGAGTGTACTTCTGCAGCTTCCAATTCCTCATTTTCAACAAATCTGCAAGCAGCAATTATACCTTGAATGGCAACACGCCTATGTTCTCTGTAATTAAGGTGATCAATAAGTGTCTTAAGTTCATCATTTGTCGATAACATTTTTTCTACTGGAGGAAAAAAAATATATATTTTAGGATTGCCATGGTCTTAAATAGGCACATTTATTGGCAATTAAAGTTGCAGGGAAAAAAATAAAAAAAGAAGAAGTCCTGCGTACTATAGTACACAAGATAAATGCTTTAAAAAAATGCACTCTCAGTAATGAATCCTTTGTAACAATATTATTAATTTATACAAACGTAAGGTGATCTGTTACACTTTACAAAGAGTACTAAAGCATTACACATCAGCATCTGTCCTCTTGGATATGTCACTACAGGTTACCATAAGTGAACTTGGGTGACCTTATTTTTCATGGCTATTGAAGTAAAAAACAACCTTAAAATGGTATATATCTAGCACTAAAATTAAGGCGACAATAAACTCAGGCGTTAAATCTCAAAAATGCATTCGAGTACTTTAACTATTAACAAATATGGAATATATTTCACTAAGCTATCAAATAAATCTCTGAATTAAGTAATGAATGAAGTAAGATTGAAGTCCATCATGGGAGTGAGCTTGGAGCGGTGGCTATGTTACAACACACACAAGGACTATAAGGAACAAAAATAGCCCTCCATAAGTAAGGACAGGGTCAGCACAAATTCAGAGATGATTTAAGCATCTACAGTTGCACAAATAAGATACAATATTGTTAATAGTTAAGGTACTTAAATGCATTTTTAAGGTTTAACGTCACTTTAACCTTAGCGCTCATGTAGGGAACTATGCAAAATCATATGATACTTGGCTCCAATTGATTAAAATCTTAACTGACAGATGAGCGAGTAGCATCAGAGTCATCTTTATTACACAGATCACTATAGTGCATAACTGTATCTTACTACACTGGTTGGTGTGGAAATCAAAACACAATTCAATGCACTTCCTAAAAAGAAACTTCTCACCATAAAGTGAACCTTTCTATTCTCCAGGGATGTAAAAACAGTGGTACCTTCAGAACCTGCTCTGTCAGCTGTTTCAACACATTTTGTTAAAGGTCAGTAGCTAAGTCCTATACGCTCCAACTAGCCACTGAGGTAGGCCTGCTCCCCTGCAGAGAGCAGTGGGACATGACAGTCACAGAAGAGCAGAGCTGACATTGACGTGCCAACTGATTGACAACCTGGCTTCACTAGCTCTTTGCTATGCAAAAAGGTAAAATCGGTGGTGCCCAATAGCAGAAGAGCTGGGCCAAAGGCCCCATTCACACTGAGCGATTTATCGCGCAGATGTCGGTGCGATATCGCGCATATTATCCGCGCTACATCGCTCTCCAATGGAAGTCAATAAATGTTGCGCGATTGCACTCGGTCTAATGCAATCATGTGCGCAATATTGCGCGGAAAACCGCGTGATATTGCGTAAAATGACATCGCGCCATTTGCAATCCGCTTAGTGTGAATGGGGCCTAATAACGGAAGCAGTTTTTTTTTTTCTTTTACAGATTATGCACTCATGTTTATGAGCAGAATAATTTGTATTAGGAAGCGGTTTCTGTACACGTTGTAAGAGGAAAGGGCTGCTTTAAAATGTATGACAATTACATGAAGAAATCTCCCATACATGATCTCTAAAATATTTAATACATTTAAAAATGATGTAAAGAGGATAAAAGGCATCTCTAAATGGTGAAAAAGGGGGGGTCATCAAAATGCACAGTTTGAAAACAAACCTTTATTATCACTACAGTACTTGGCAAACGTTGCTGGTGTTTGTGGGTAAGGATGATACCCGCCAATGGTGATTTTTCTCTGGAAATCAGCTTCATCCTGAGTTTTCATCCAGTCTACAAAATCTTTTACCTTTTGATCGCTTGTATAGGGCTGTCCTTTATGGTATTCTGAAAGGCAACATATGTTCAAAATTACTGCAACAGGTTTGTGTAATTACTGACATTAGAATAAACATACTGTAGACCAATCTAAAAACTAATACCGACAGACAGACCTGGGCAGAAATGGGATTTTTTTGGCTTGGAGACCAATGCCTCTGACTGGTTTTTGATTTCAGAAAGCATTTTGTTGCAATGAATGGGAGGTTCTTAGTCTATCTCCTGGTCTACAGCAGAGACAAGTCTCTCTGCTAGTATCCTAGACCTGCTAGTATTGGCTATAAAAAGTAATCATCCTCTCTCATAACATTTTTATGCTTTCTATTCTTAGGCTCTTTGCTGCACATAAATCAACAAAGGTGATTTTACATTAGGAAAAGCATTTAAGAAAAGCAAGCTCACAGTAATTGAAATGATTGCGTAATTGCTTTGGTTTACATACCAGTTATGAACACCTGACTTTCATTGGAGGTTGTGAGGTAAGCTTGGCAACATTTGTCCTCTGGATATTCATGGACCACGCGCATCTGCGTGCACACAAGATACGTCACTACGAGAAAAAAACCAAACATCAGATCATGAAAGCTTAAGGCCCCATTCCCACTGCGCGATATGCAAATCGCGCGTTGGTCGCGTGATTTGCATATTGTGCGATATCGCGAGATTTGCAGCGCGATATCGCGTTCAAGCTTGCATTGAGCAAGCTTGAATCGCGGCTAAATCCGCTCCAAAAAGGGTCCTGCTGTAGCGACACACGACAGCAGGACCCTTTGCCCCATTGAAATGCATTGGAGCGCAGTATCGCACGGTAATTTGCCGCTATATCGCGGGAATTACCGCGCGATAAATCGCTCAATGTGAACGGGGCTTAAAATGCCTTTGACAGAGTTAGTTGGAATTGTAACTGTTTAAACATGGGGGGAATGTATCAATACTGGAGCAGGAGAACCTGGGTCAGTTGCCCATGGCAACCAATCAGCTTCTGTCTTCAGTTAAGGTTTGAAAATGAAAGGTGGATGCCGATTGGCTGCAATGCACAGTTGCTCAACAGTTTGTATTAAAAAAAAATATCCGCAGTAGTAATAGCAGTTTAGATAAACGGATGGATCTTTTCATTCCCCTCCAAGTGCAGACACGTAGGAAAAATGGGAACCGATCTTGCACTCGGTACTGAATTAGCCTCATCAAAAAGTGATGGGTGGGCCCCATTCCAAGCTACACACGGTTAACTTCCTCATTGACTTCTGAAGCTAGTAGTTTGTGCATACATTCCCTAAGCATCCTTGGAAAACTGCACACTGAGTGCCTACTTCCAAAGTTAGCTACCAGTTCAAGAATGTATGAAGAGGTGAGTGGCAGAGAGCTGGAGGACAGCACCAGCTTATCCAGGGAAAATAATAGCCAACGGGACACCGTTGCTTATTTGTCCAATCATGTGTTCACTCAATCAGTAGCTGGCTAGATACACAAACATGAGACTTTTCTACAATCAGGCTGAAAATGACCTAATTGTACAACTGTCATTGCAGGTTATAGGTACACCTTTATAAACGACTGGTGCCCTAGAGCACATGCTCCAAATCTATGGTCACATCTCAGCCGTCACGTTTCAGGACTTGATCAGGTTATAGTTAAAAAGTTTTAGTACACAGTCCTAAAGGTAAAAACAAACCTATAAATAAAAATTCCACCATTGCTGATATAGTGCATCTACTTTACTTGTCATTTTGTATGGGTTTTGATCAGGTGGCTGGCCATTGAAACACACACAGGCCGTGGGCACTATGGGTAATCAGGCTCTGGTATATAGTATATACTCACTGGGATGAATTTTCTCAAATATGTTGGGTTGTGAGGTTGCAAAAATTTCAAGTAAAAGTGGCTGATAAGAGGTCCTATCAATCACATGGACCCAACGGTACAACCAGAAATCTTCACCTTCATCTGAAAAAGAAACAAACACAGTTACAGCAGACATGTCTGGTACACAAAACAATTAACTATGCCTCAACAGTCACAGCCATAACCAGGATATAAATAATGTAGGAGAGAGTTTAAACAGCTTATTTCAGTTTTTTTGTTTTTTTATATAAAGTGAATACCTTAGAAGCACACACTTATAGCTCTAAGAAATCATGTGACTTAAAACATCTATTTCTTAGAACATGGTATTCTCACTCCATCAGCTTCTAAGAATGTGGCAGAGTTAAAATTTCCTAGAATGTAAGTCATGCTTTTTGATTGACACTATTTTAGCATGTCACTACCGAGTCTTTACCCCAGCCGTTCAAATACAGGGAAATCAAGGGAGGCTAACAGCAAACAGTTTCTATAGATTGCATTTCAGATGGTAATTGGGCTGCAGTAATGTTTTTCATTTTCAGTATTTCAAGGAAGGTCCACCTAAAGTAAAACCTTCACAAGAGAAATATGCGATGCTGCCATTGCTCACCTCCTACTGAAAATGTTTGTTGCCTGGATATTTTGCTTTCCTGCAGGTTTTAGTCATTTTAGACAAAACAAGAACAATTGTGCAGATCAGGAAAGCCAAAGAAATGTCAGTAGTCCTTCTCTTTATACTTGTTCTGGTTTAGGGACTCACACCATTGTATGAAAGTCCTTCATTCAGGCACAGGAGGCACAGCAGTGCGAGTCTCATCCTTTCAAGCTAACCCGAACTAATAGTTTAAATAAACTAAATACATTCAAGTGTAGTAAAGCAAAAGGTGTACAAAAAAGTGTCAGTGTTTGTTTTCATTAGAAGGAGGCCACAATCTGAATAAAGAACACGCCGGTCCCCTGCCAGCATGTTGTAGAGAAGGATTAATGCTCTCTGTGTAGAAACAGTGGTCTTTCTGCAGAGGAGCGGCGCTTTGCTGCTGAGCCAAAACTAGAACTCCCTCATCAGCTAGCATCATAAGCTTTACTGACTGCAGAGCTATAGGTCTGAAAGACCTCTGCAAAGAGACCACTTTCACACAGACAGCATTGGTCCTTCTCTACAACATGTTGGCACAAGACAAGCTTTTCTACTCACATTTTGGCTTCCATGATTCTGGTGCAAAATTAAGGAATATGGGGGAGGGGGTGGCTGGGAGGATTTCAGTGCCTCTGTTGTGAACTTAGCTTTGAAGATGAATGTCTCGACAACACCTATAGTTACAGTGGTGAAAGAGGGCTTGTTTTAAAATGCTTTTACTGTGTAGTTTAGTTACCTCGGATCCGTTTTCGTTCACATCTTCCCACATACGTCACAAGACCAATAACATCACAGACTTGGTTATGAGGTAAATGATTCAATTCTGATCTAAAATGTAAATAAACTGTTGAAAAATAAAAATCTAAGACATGTAAAAACCTATGAACCTCAGTTACTGCGGTACTTGAGGTTGAATAAAGACACAGGTCTATGAAGTTCAACCTTTGTGAGCATAGGTATGAGTGTACCTATATTTGAAGTACACAAAAAAAAAAAAAACACCATTTATTCAAGTTATAATTTCATGAATAATAAAACATTTTTAAAAAAGGAGAACTATGGGGTAAGTGTTTTTCCCCATAGTTCTCCTAAGGGTCACGAGAGGACATATACTAGCGTCCTCCTGTCACTCAAAGCTCAGTATATAGCGAGCTACAGCTCGCGGTATACGGAGACCGCCGCAGCCGGCATGGATCCCGACATTACTCTCGAGATCCACCCAGCTACATGATTGACAGCTGGCTCTACCTATCTAGAGGCAGAGCCAGCTGTACCCGCCCCCTTCCCATCCGGTCCGCCAGTCAGCGCTGGAGGATCAGAGCAGGGAGGGGGGGATCCCTGCAGGGAGCCGTGAGTGACAGTCACGGCTCTTTGCAGGTGCATGATCGAGAAGTGAGCGAGTGATGGTATGTGTTCGCTCACTTCCCGATCTATTGAGCCGACGTGTGACAGTTTCATTGTCACACGTCGACTCGAACTATGAGGTTGAGTGAAAGTCACTCACCTCATAGTTCTCTTTTAAATCTGAATAGTATCGGTACACCACCGCAAAGAATGAGAAAGGGAGGGCAAGCACTAGCAGTCAGGCTCTTCTGCAATACAGTGCTTTTAGACAAATGTGTAGCTGGGCACTACGAGCTTACATACGGGACATGAATGAACTGTTCATTCTGCAAGTAAAGACCTCTACATACATTAAAGTTTACTTGTGCCCAGACTATATACATATTTACATAATCTTAAGCAATAAAAAACAGGCAGACTGAGAGTGGACTCCCTGGCTACCACAACAGGTTTCCCTTGCCTGAGATAGAGCTGCAGAGGTTCTAGATAGAGCTCTGTGACAGAGTGAGCAAGGTAGCCAGAGGGCAGTTTTTCCATTTGCCATGCTATAGTTATCCAATATGTCTATATGCACATCATCAAATCAGCTAGCTGTAAATAATTAAAGTGTATAGCATTCCTTCATCTTGCATGTAAATAACAGTCGTCAAATTCATTTCTATTGAGAACACCTACATGGGAAATATTAGCAAATGAACACATCAAAAGGCTTTTCTCTGTCGGGCGGTACAGTATTGGCATTTCTTATCACACTAGATTTGGGACTTTTAGCATAGGGATTGTTCATAACTTGTCATACAACTGGCATCAAGACCAGGGCCAAAAAAAAAATGAACTATTGTAAATAGGAAATAACATCATTCAGTATTGCTTTCATCGCTCGAGGCAATCTTACAATTAATGCTCTTTTCAGACAAGATAACGGTTACAGCAGATTAATTCCTTTTGTTCTGCACCTCTCAAATAAACCTGTCACAATCCTTGACAATTTAAACTGAGAATATGATGAAACAAAATCAGAAGGTAGCTGCAGTGCAAACTGCACGTCAAAATAACTAGTTGATTCAAATATATAGGAAGTTATATGCAAAGCCTGTCTTTCCTTATGAAACTTAAAATTGCATGGTGGGCAAATTTCCAAAATGATCAGAAAGAACTAAGTGAAACAAAACGTGCATGAACCAACATAACAAAAGTAACGTTACCCGGCATAGAACGGCTTCTCCTTGATAAGATTCCAATAAACCTGAAATTGGATCCTACACTTAGAAGGAAGAATAAGCTAATCACAAAGCACGTTCTTAAGAACATTCTGCTTAAATTAAAAGTATTTTCAGACTAAAAGCCCAATGTTGCTGAAAACCGTTACGGATCCATTCGCTGTCGATCCAAGACAGGCCTGTGTAATGGCTTTCAAATTTTTTTTGCAACATATAGGATTAGTAAAGAACTAAAAAGAACTACTAAACTACAATCAACTTAAGAACATGTGGATGTGATTAACTTTTGTTACTAACATCTTGATGCACCCCAGTATCAAAATCCCTAAACGACCAATAGACTGCACAACCATTAAGGGATCTATGTACAGCAAACTAAAGGGCATATATATCCAACCCAAAACAGATCGAAGTCAGTTTGACTAAGTCATCGGTTTTAACTATTGGACAGGAAACTGTCAGCTATGTGTTCAGCAATTTGTATATATCCGTTTTTTGATCAGAAATAAAGTACATTTTCTTTAAAACTAACATTGTGGTTTGTCCCCACCATTGGTTAACCCTTGAACTGCCTTCATCTGTAACACAATTTTTCTTTTTTTGATACTGGCACAGTATGTACCACATCCAGAGAGTGGAGAGAAATCTCCCTAGAATGTTTTGAGGCAGGACATGGAGAAAGAAGAACAATGTACTGGTCAAAGTGGAAAGAGGAGACCACTTTGAGAAGAAGAGAGACCTTAAGGGCCGGTTCCCACCACAAACAGTGTGTTCCAGAGCGGTCAGCCTCTGGTATGCACTGTATTGCATTCTGGCCGGCTCCCTGCGTTCATGGGTGGGAAGGGGCGTGGTGGTGCATTGAAGTCTATGGCACCGTAGCCACACACCCCGCAGTCCGATCGCCCGCACCAGAATGCGTGGCACATCAGTGCCAGCGTTCCGGTTCAGTGCGCTCTGCCAAAATGCTGCAAGCACTATTTTTGCAGATCGCACTGGACCGGAACGCAGGCACGATTGCACAGCTGGTGGTGGGGCGTGGCTACAGTGCCATTTACTTCAATGCACCACCATGCCCCCTCCCACCCATGAACGCAGTACACTGCATTCCAGAGGTACGCAGAGGCAACCTTGCGGGTAACGGTAGACACAGGAAAATCCCTAATGGGGCTTCTGACTTCTGGAGGGCTGACAGAGCCAGGTTGAGATCCCACGGAATCAATAGGGAACGTAAAAGGGGAACAATGTGAACGCCCCCATGCACAAAGGCTTTCACCTTGATGGTACTTGAGACCAAATGATGATCCAGACTGGATAGGATGAAAGATAGGATTCATCCAATGTAGTATTTACTAGGATGAAAACTCCTAGTTTAGGGATGACTGAATCTGCAAAGCTCCTGTCCCTCAGTACCTGGGCTTCAAAAGCCAAGCAGTTAAAGACAGCAACTAAGAAGCAGGATGGCAGGCCTCCATGTGCCTTGGGAATGGTGAAAAGGTTTGAGCAGAAACCCGAGAACCTTTCCTCCTCTGGAACTGGAACTATGACCCCCTTAAGAGAGGGGCTGCTGGAGAGCAGAGAAGAAATATGTTTGTCTTTATGGAGACGCTCACAGCATGAAGCAAAATGAACGCAGAGACCAAAACTCTACTTTGTAGCCCCCGAATATGATCTTCTGGACTTTGGCATTTGAGGTGTCCTGGGACCAGATGGTTGTGTAGGTCGACAACCACACACTCTGGCAAGTGGTAAATCTTCCCTCCCCCCTTCATGACTTCCTTGATGAAAGTGTCAAAGGAGTCACCAAAGTCACCAACAAAGGGCATTCTAACAAGGCGCTTCTTGCACTGAAGCTCCACAGAAAACACTTGAGACAAATTATCCTACTTATATGAGTCAATAGGAAACTCATCCTGGATATTTGACGGAGTCCACTAATCCATCTAGGCAGTAGTGCAGGACTAGAGTTAACAGCTCCAGAAGCTGGAGGACAGACTAATCCACCAAAATGTATCTGGGATCCTTAGCTAGGTTTTTGGACAAGACTGCTAAGATCTGACAAATAGACAGGTTCGCAAAAGCAGATTTTGCAGTTGGACCTGCTAAGAAAAACAAGGCCTTAATGACGGATTCTAACCTTTTGTTCACAGGTTCTTTGAAGACCGGGACACCCTTACCAGGGATTCTTAGGATTTTGTTACGGCAGGGAAAAGCAAAGTCCACAACAGAGATTGGCCATTTTTTTAGAACTCCTCCTCAATAGGGTATAAGCAAACTGTTTGAGGGATTTTTTTTCAGGGTGAAGCCAGTCACCATACAAGAAAGAAAGCAAGAAAGTAACAAAGCAAGAAAGAAACAAACAGAGCAGAGAGTGCAACAACTAAGGACACTGTCTATTTATTTAATGTGGTTGATGTGTTTCCTGTTGCAGGCAGGCGGAGCCTATATCTCGATGGCTGTCCTGGAAGATGACTGGGGAAAAATAGACTTGCTGGGAGTAGAAGGGATTATATGAGGCTGTCCCTAGAGCTTTCTTTGTCACTGTCCAATCACATAAATATAGCTGCATATAAGCAAGTAGTGCAAGACTGATTCTGTGACCTGTGATACACACTTAAGAAAGTGCTTTTGTTGGTGCTGTGCTCCTGTTAAAATTCCCTTCACGTTGTTGACGTGTAGTCAACAGAATAAGAAGCATGGGGAAATATATCCAGTGAAGCCATAGACAGACAGAAAACCCAAATTATGTTTTACCCTTCCTTAATTTAACCATAAAACTTTATATGGAGTTCAGGATATAGCAACATTTAAATACAAATTTTCATGGCCCAATTACAAGAAAACTAGCGCTAATCTTGAAATTTTATGATTTTGAAGACTTACCACGATTATGCAAGTATATTAAAACATTTTTGTGTTTGGTTTTTAGATAAGGGATTTAACCTCTCTATACTTCCATCAGGTTTTTTTCTGCTGGCTGTGACCTCCTGGAGAGAATTCCCATCACATCCTGCCCTGCAGACACAATAGGATATGAAAGGAAATCTCTCCCATCAATGAGCGGAATGCCATCTTAGAGTTGTCACAATAGCAGGTATCCCTAGTGGAAGATTTTAACCCTTGCTCCGATAACCCTGTGAAATTACTCATAATATTACATCTGCCACATTCATTTCTATATCAAACCAATTCATGGAGCAGGCTTAAAATCAATACCCAAGAAACACTTCTAATAAATACCATAAATTATAGCAGATAGTTGGCAACACAGATTAAGCATAGGCTCCCTACCTAAAATGGCCTCTTAGTAGGCCAAGCATGTCAGAAATTTGGCATTTGCACAGGCACTTTGAAGGATAACAATGTAAAAATACATGTGCGTGCCAGAAAGCTTTGTTTGTTTCCCTAGTGTTTACTTCAAGACATGTATACATGTATCCTATTACCATTGGAAAGCATGGAAATTAGATACCTTTTTTTTTTTTACAGAATAGTTCTGGTAATAAGAAGTATCACCCTGTATTATTTTTCACAGCTCAGTCACCTAACTCCCACAGTATATGTTTGCTTTTTGTCTGTTGCTTCTATGTGCAGCTGAAGCGCAGCTCTAGAGGGTTCCCTCTCCCTCACCCCACCATTTCAAACCACTCTGCAAAAGGGACAGGCCACGTGATTGACATTGCTTGTCTCTATGTCCCTTCCATTTCCTGACATGCACAGGAATCATGGCAATGCAGGGGTGGGGGGCACACCTTCACTGGAGTCAGCACAGGCGCTAGTACTAGGAGGGGAATCTTGTTTTATACCCGGAAAGTGCAGAGACAGGGAGACAAGCACTGCCAATCATGAGGCCTGTCCATAGGGAATTGGGGTGGGGGTTCACGGTCACCCTCTGGATCTCCACTTCTGCTGCGCACAGAAGCATGGGATAAAAAGCAACATATGCTGTGGGAGTTAGGTGAATGAGCTGTGAAAAATACAAACGTGAGACTTTAATAAAAATATATTAAAAAAGGTGTTTGTCATGTGTGACAATTAGTAGTATGTATGTGTGAGCAAAATCTTGTAATCAGTAATCCCCACCTTGTGATAAATTGGTATTTCACATTGGGTAGTCTCCATTCAGGCTTCACATCTTCTTTTCGAAGAACAGAAATCTTGGATACAGGATCTTTGGCATTCAAGCTAATTTCTGGGGAAAAAAAACAAAAACATTAAACGCCACAAAATTGCACACAGTATTGTTGTTATTTTAAGTTGCAATTCACCTTTATAGTAAACCTATACCATTCAGACAACTTTCTGTATGATTTCATTATTCCTATGAGAAAACAGCACAAGACAGCCATCAAAAACCTCCAGTGCCAGTCATGGGACCAAATGCTGGAGCATTAGTCATGATAGTCATGTGATTTCTGCCAAATTATGATGCCCTTCTAAAAGGAAAAACAGCAAAAACACTTTTGGAATTCATTACTGTAGAACTAGTGCCACCACAAAAAAAGCTGCTTTTTTTTTTTTTTAGTCATGCTGGCTTCATCACATTTTTTTAGAACCTATTCACACCACTGTGTTGCCGTAACACATGTAAAATTAATCAGTGCGCCATTATGCCAATCTCTTTGTGCTCTTACATTTTGCTGTATTATTGGCAGCCTATTCAAATGAATAAGGCAATTTAATTCAAAGTACAAGAACATGTGGCTGACTATAACATATGTGTGTGTACATTTTATTTTCACACATACAGTACACACACACATACACCTTTCATAAAGAGAAACCAAACCAGGAAACACACTCACTGCAAGTTATTGAATTTGTTTTCCCCAAATCTGGTGCCAGCACTGACAAACTGGTAAATCCCCTACATTTAAAAATACATTTCCCCATTTTTAACTGTATTCAAATAACGAATTCACATAAGGTAAAAACTCTGCTATCACAAACAGGGATCAGGCAACTGAATGCCTTCTTACCGTAGGTTGAAAACAACAATTCTCATGGAATCTGCAGGGCGTGGAATAGTTCTATATAGGAACAAATAAACCCTGCCACTCTTCTCCTGCATAACCCTAATTGGGCATGTTTTAGGTTCCCACCTGAGACTTACCAGTGCAATAGATTGTGTTGCTCTCTTGAACACATCTGTCACAATAGGGTGGAAATCAAAGCATTAGCAGATATACTACAACTTCATAGTTCTTGGTCATCTACCCCATGTGGCCAAAGTCCCTCAAAGACCGTATGCCAATGCTGACTTTGTAAAAAGTTAATAATTGCATAAGATCCTTTACCCCATGACAGTGCTTCGCTCTGCCATAGAATTAGAAAAACAAAAACAAACGTTTGATGTAATTTAACTTAAAAATAAATAAATAAAATTGTTGGCTTTTAAAGCAAAATTGTCCAGGTCTCATCTGACTGAAACCGAAAAAAACTCCACAAATCTAACTCATCTCATAAGTCTTTGTGCCAGAAAACTAAGCACATTTTACAATATACAACTGACCACACTTTACACACCTCTGTAAGATATACTATTCTCAAAATGCAGAACAGCAAGCAAATAAAAATGTCAAAATTATCTTCACAGAAAATGCTACAAATGACTGAAAATGTGTCATTTCTAAAAGTATAATTCTAGCTTCTCTTAAGGAAAAAGTAGAACACTAAAATCACTGAAAAATTCCAAGTCAGTGCAGTACTTGCAACAATTTATAGATAAACATGACCTCTGGGAAATTAAGATTGTGCTATATACATGAATAAATAATTTGAAAGATTAGGCAATTCAGCAGTAGTGGTTTATTCGGTGGGCCCTGGCTGTTCTGTGGCCCATGGTGTTATGATGAAAAACTTGCTCTTGTCGTGAATAAATAACTGTAGGAAATACATCATTGTTTTGGTAGTAGTCTAAATAACTGTTCTGGTTGAGTTTTGTAGTGTGTAATTAAGTGTTCTGATTGAGGTTTCAATGGGCTAAAAACCTGAACATGTGTGTAACAAGAAAGGATGTAAAATAACATCCAGTATCGAAGAAAATTACTTTTATAAAAGAACCCCTGCCAGAATAAAACTTATCAGACCAGGAAAGTGACATATTGCAAGTCTTTAGGCTGCACTTGGAATATTGTTTTTCTTTTATGCGAGTTGCAAAAACAACAGTTCTAGAAGTTTTAAAGCAGTTCCCAACAGTTGCAAGTTTTCAACCTAGATCTTAATCATGGCTGGAGGTGAAGAATAACAGCTCGAGCAAGCAGGATTGTGTGTAAAGGGATAGTCTCTGTCAGAAGATTACAGAAGCATGATTTTGCTACAGACAAGTCTCACTCTTAACTCACACAAGTACCTGAAACTTAACGGCGATGTAGGAATGTGCAGGCACCTCTGGTCACCTGTAATTATTATCAGTTAACAGCTTTCTGTAGTGCTTATTTGACAGATTTTCTTAAAAGTGTAACTAAAACAAAATAGTATTTTGCAGCTTACCAACCCTTAGATGTGATCGCTGCATTAGCTCATTTAACTTTATTTTCATCTAGTGATCCTGCCAATAACACACTACTTGTCCTTCGGTGACAACTCTCACTCACTGGACTGTAACTATGGAGAAGCAGTGTTGTCACCCTGGGACAGGAGGTGTTAGGACTATAGAACACATTCTGCTCTCCATGACATAGAAGGGAGACATTCAATAGTTACAAAAGGTAACATGCACACAAAAAAAATGTTTTTTGCATTTTTTGAACAGATAAATATACAGTAAACTTCCCAGTTATCCGGCACCCACAAGGATTGTGGTGGAGAACAGTAACAACCACCTCTCTTAGGTCTGCTCCTCTGCTCAGTGGGCAGGTGCAATAGCAAGTCTGCTATGGTAATTTAAAATGGCCAATAGCAGGACAGCTATTAAAACCCAGCCCACTGAGCAGAGAAGCGGACCTGAGCGAGAAAGCTCTCTCTCAGGTCCGCACCTCTGGTCAGTTGGCAGGTGCAATAGCCAGCCTTCTATTGGCTATTGCAATCTAAAATAGCCAGTAGCAGGCTAGCTATTGCTTCTCATTGTTTATATTCTGCTGCTGACTGTGGAATCCAGCAGCAAGATTTAAAGAATTTAGTTAGCAACTAAATAATTTTGCTAACAAAATGTTTTAGTGTGCACCAATCAACCAGCAATTTTTTAGTGTGCATCATCATTGGTCGGTTGCTTGAATGCCGGATAAAGGGGAGTTTACTGTACCACTGAAAGTGTTCGTAACAGACCAAAGGGATTCATACACTAACTATAGTAGAAAGAAAAAATCACCAACATGGCTGTGCTGTCTGAGACTGGACTGGAATGACAAATACAAAACCCTGGGAAGGATAAATAATCATTTACCATATCTGTTTTTACCTGCATAGTTATCCATTTGCCTGGAGTTTAGTTTTAAGTACAAATAGTCTTGTTTGTAAGCAAAACTCCAGAAACCTGGTGCTATACACTTGTGAATTAATTGACCAGACAAATGCAAAAGTAGTAACATTTGCAATAAGATTCTTTTTGTTCAGCAACACCATAAATCATATTTCCATCGAGACAGGAGCGATACTAAACCTGCGAGTGCTCTGTCTCTGTCATTAAACAGCTTTGTTAGAAAATGTTTATTAACTTTGAAACGTAAGGCATATTTGGGCAACTGTGAAAAGTTATCAGACAGATAAAAGAATATTTAATATGTACTCCTGTAAGAATCTGCGATAACAGTCATACCTAATGGGAGATTAAAGACAGCCAGATGCCATCTGAGACGCAATTACAGAACACCAACCGCTGTGGCAAAGATGAAATATGGGAGAAATAACAAAAAGTAGTAAAAGACAAGTTAACTTATTAAACCTGATCTGTAAAGAACACATTTGGTTTTTCATTAATAAATAATTCAGCAATAGAAGGCTTCTGTACATTCCCATTCCTGATTGCTGAAAAATACGACTTCAGCCAGTTCTAGGCAATAGATCATATTAGCCGCATTGTGAGGCGTCTCACCCTTGTGGTTTGCAGCCAGCCCCTTCTAGTAATAAGGCCCTTGACTCATCCATCAGCCTCTGACAAGTAATTTGCTTAGTTCATGCAGGGAAACAGAAACAAATCCTATCGACTTGTCAACACAAGATAGTTCAAGAACACAGGATGCTATCCAACTCTGAGAAAGTCTGAGTTATCATAGCATTGCATAACCGCTGAGCATGGACCACAAAATGAGGCGTACACTGATGGCTATACTGACCTTGATGTGTGAGAGACACATTCATGGTCTAGTAAAGGCAAGAATTGGCTACGATACAGAGCCTAGAACTAGTCACCCATAGCACTGCTTTAAAACGGTTTAATTTCATCCAGTGTATATGCTACCTGTTCTATGTCATTTTTTTTCCATCTAACAAATTATCTGACATGGCTCATGGTTTAGCACCTGTGGGTCTGGGTTTTAATCCACACAATTTGTATGTTTAGGTTTGAGGGCATTTCTTTCAGATACTCTGATTTTCTTGCATGCTCCAAAAAAAACATAGTTAAAAGGTCAGTTAACCAAAAAAGTGATATTTAAGTTTTTGTTTTTTTTAATATATATTTTAAAAGTTAAACCAGCTCTATCAATTTTTTTTTATTGTAGGTTTAGATCTATCAAGTTTTAAATGCATTAAGATTATCTTGTGCTTCCTGTTCTATCTGACTAGTGCTACGTGGACAGGAAGTTAGATGAAATCTGCCCTCTGGGAACACAAACAGCAACAAAAACTCAGGTTCTAAGCATTCTCCTCTCTTACTAGAAATATTTTTTACGGTCCTTATACAGGAGATTTACTGGCAACTCCAGGTAGAACACCCTTCAAATAAACAAATGATGGAAAGAAAGCCTCTCAAACATGGACAATTGAGATAGCAATCAACAGCCTACAAAGGCTATAATCCCGCTCTTCAAAACAAAAACGATTCTGGCTGTGCTGGGCAAGGGCTTGCAGCTCAAATAGCTTCCTAAAGGACTTTATGTCCAAAGCTAGCTTAGCATGAGGCCTGAACATCCACTTGTTGAAACTATGAGAATGTGTGAACAGATGACAATTTGGCAGCCTTGCCAATCTGTAAAACAGAAGCTTGATGCCAAAAAGCCGAAGAAGCACTCACTGACCTAGTAGAGCGTCCCATGACAGGAAAAAGTGAACGCGTAGGCTTTAGGCTACGAGTGTGAACAATAATTTATCTAAGCCATCGAGAAATGGTAGACAAGAAGCTGGTTCCTTGCACAGGCTGAACAAAAAAGAGGGAACAGGAGCGCGACTGCCTGGCGTCAAATGTGTGGATGGGAAGTATTAAAGGATGGTAGGTGAATCAGGGTAACTGGATGTGTGATAGTGTGGAACATTTACGTGTGATGAGGAGTAAAGGTGCGGTGGTGGTGATCACTTCTGGTGGGGTTGGCTCATCGCCTTCCTCCAGCCATACCTCTGAGTGAGCCTGCTCAGAGATTGGTCAAAGTCAGATGCAGATTCATAATCTGAGGATTTACCCTCCCACACTGTACACTGAGGCCCCAACCCAGCAACAGATAGAATCAATTAATTCACCAGACTTAGGGAAACCTGCAGATCTCAGAATAATCAGCATCCAGATGGACTACAGTCTAGATGTAACAGTAAATTTAATAGCGACATAGCAGAGGGTGCCACCGGATGTTGTACAGAAGGAGTCACATGAGAGAAACCCTGTAAAAAAAGTCTTAAATCAAGGAATGGGAAGGCAAGTGGTCTTTGAAATAAGATAGCAAGGGCCGAGATTAATCCTTTTATGGTACTCAGGGCCAATAGCCGTTCTAGTGCCCAAGTCCCCTGCACTGATGAGATGTCTGGAGGCGCCTTCCCTGTCTGTTAGTCTGGCATCCATTTTTAGAACTATCCAAGACAAAAGGAGAAAGGCTTTCCTCAACTCCAGAGCTGGATTCCTGAGCTAGTTTCAGGATCCAATCGAACCTTTTCACAGCCTGGAGCGGATAAAGAGCATTGTTGAACAGGAGTTGAGCCGACTGTTCCCTCTAGAAAAGGTTGTCTAGATATCTCAGAGTGAGAATGCACTATGAGTGCAACAAGGCTATTACACTCAAGGCGCTGAGGACAGGCCAATTGGTAAGGCCACACACTGGTAGTGTTAAGCAACTACAGCAAAGCGCAGGTACCGTTGATGTGGTGGAAAATTTGGAACATGCAAGTAAGCATCCTTGATGTTCACAGAAGCTAGATAGTCTCTCTAATAATGCTATGACATGCAAAAAACTTTTGGACATGCTATAACAAGCAAAACTTTTGGACTTGAATGAAGACTTCTAAATCCTTTAGTCAAAGATGTTGCAAATGCCTCCCTTTGGTTCTGAAACAGTGGAAAGGTTGGAGAAAAAACCCTGAAGCCATTCCACTGTGGGTACAAACAGCTATAACACTCTGGATTAACAGATCTGCAACTGGTGTGTGGAAAACTACCAGTCATTTTGGAGATGTAGGCAAGTTGGACAACATGAAGCTGGGTGGAGGAAGGGTTTGAAGCTCCAGTTTATAGCCTACATCTTTTATGCAGGCATCCGAGATGCTTTCTGACCAGGTGTCCAAAGACTAACAGATGCCCCCCACTTTGAAATGTGGGAGCGCCCCTCCATGAAAGAGGACTTGTCTGCAGGCTTAGATTGGGACTTTTAGGTCCAAGGCTTGTGGCTATACTGGCTTCCAGGTTTGGGTTTGGAATTGGAAGCCTGAGAGAAAAGTAAATTATTTTTCTCAGTGGAAGGAGGCTTTACATGGTGAGGTATGGGCTTCTTCTGCTGAAGTAAATGTGTAGCTAGCACTTTTTATATGCCTTTTCCGCAGAACACTAGTTTAGCCAAAGGTTCCTCTGCATATTCACAGAGAGAATACACAATTTGGAAATTAGACATGCAATGTTGAATAAGTTATCCACACAATAGTGTAGGGTGGAAGGCGCAAACTGTAAATGTTCTAACACTAGAGGATCTATGGCAACAGCTGGATTCTGTGACATTAGTTTAATCTATTCACCCAGGTTTTGATATACTGACATCACACCAATGGTAGGCTGCATTAGCAGGAATGGCTACAGAAAAAAGTAATTTGGAAAGAGCCTCCAAGCCTTTGTCAGTAGAATCTTTAAACACTGGGGCATCCTCAATAGGTACAGAGAGTTTTCTGTTGAGGAGTAAAATTGCCAGCTCTACCATGAGGATCCTCAAAAAGGCTGCTATAGGGAGGCAGAACTACAATGGGAAGATAATCACTTTAGCAGGTTAGCACTACTATAAGTAAAATTTATGATTCACTCTAGTAGCCAATAAACTATTTTTTAAGTGCGTTTTTAGGGCAGATAAATAGGAGAAAACCAAGGGAGGGTCTCATCAGTTTATTGTTGGGGGTCTCACCAGATATTTATAGTTTGCAAGCTTGAGAAGTAGGTGACACAGGAAGCCATATCTGAAGACTTATCATCATCTGCTTATATAGCATAGTAGGGAAGGGCAAATGACAAAAGTAGTCAGGATCATTCACATATATACTGATGTTTGACATAGAATTGTGAATCATGTATTTAGCATGATTGGAGTTCTGTTGTAAACCTCTAACATCTGTCTCATCATCCAGATTTTTAGGCAAGTCCTGATATAGTCTCATTCCTGTGGATCCAGACCTGCCTTTTACTCTAACCTTCTCATGACGGAACTCTAATATGCAGTAACAAGAACAGAGACCTGTGGAATAACACAGCTGCTAATTTGCATTATATAGGTGTTAGAAAAAAATGAAAACATCATTCTTTTAACTGATGACTCAAATATATAATGAAACTGGGACAGTCTTAAAAACAAGATGTCATATTTAGAAGACATTTGGGCTGAAAAATAAAGCTTCTGTATTAACCAAAACGGCAAGCGCCTCTTTGTCTGAAAACACATACATTTAGTTACAACATCATTAGTTAGATTCATCTCATCCTTTCATTTTCTATTAAAAGTTATGTTAAGAAAGCAGTAGGTGGCTTAACTCTCTAGCCTCTATTAAAAATAAGATACCATAAGTGGAACATTTTCAGCCAGTAAGACACTAGAATTTTTGTGCAAGCAGGAGTGGTGCATGGGCAAGGACAAGTTTTTAAACCTGTAAATAAATAACACAATCAACTGAGGTAAATCACATTACCTCAGTAATACTTTACCAAGATTAGGCAGTCTTTTCACCTGCGTATTGCAAGTTGTTGGGAGTGTCCTGTTTGGATAGCTATTCTTCAAAGCATACTGCTGGAGTAAGACGACATTACCGATCTGAAGTGTGTTGTACCATTCCAGGCACAAAAAATTCCACATCACCATGGACATCATACCAGAGTGATCAGCAACTTCAAAATAGGCCTAGAATCACAGTGGTGGGGAAATAAAATTATAATATTATTATTATTAATACGCACAAACATTAGCAATCACCAAGTGACCAAAAATTAGTATAAACCTGCACGACACATAATACAGGGAGTCATGACAGCATAATACTGCTCCCTACAAAAGTACCATCAAATGACATTTCCCATATTCAACAAGTGAGAAAACGCCTCACTTACACTAGTCTTTAAGTTTATTTTGCATCCTAATGCAGAAAAAAAAAAAAAGTTCCTACGCTATTTACAAACACAGTGTACCACAATGAACTAAGTAATCACATTTGCTATTTATAGGGAGTCAAAGCACACTATATATGTGTCTTGGGGTACTCCCAGAAGTAAAAAGCGCTTCTCATAGGTCACTGTGGCCATGCGGACCAATAAGTGCTCACAATTTGCAAGCATATGCTGAATGCTTGCTGCCAGGCTGAGGTGCGGCGTACGGAACATTTGAAGGCTGGCAGGGGCAGTGCAAAGGTACACATAGCAGGAGACGGGAAAGGCAAGAGTGGTGTTGGTACCCTTATTTTGTGACAAAGTGCATTCATCCTTTAAAGGCATATTTTGCCTCACGGAAATTTTGTAGAGTTCCTTCTGTAACCTATGTGCCATTTCCTTGTGAGTGTAAATGAGCTATGTAAACAGGCAATATTAATGCTTTCCTGACTAAAGTGGTTTAAAACAGTCTTGGTCATAAAAAACCCCCATATAAGTCTGTTTTATTACACATCCCTTTAAAGTGCATTTATTTCAGATTTAACTGGAGTTCCACAATGCTCCTAGTGGGATAGTTTCTATGACGTTTGTTGGCAAATTAGCTATAATTTCACGCTGAAGTTGCTAGATGGCCAGACCATTATAAATAGGGAGGCAGGTTGTTTACCACAACAGTAGGTGATTTTTTTCTCCTGAAGATATAGGTAAACAACGCAATTTAACAGCCTTTGAACGTGGGATGATTGTTGGCGCTCGGGGCCATGGAGCGAGTATCAGCAAAACAGCAGAATTCGTTAAATGTTCAAGAGCAGCTGTTGTTAAAGTGTTTTAAGACTGGACTGTCAGCCGAAAATCTGGGTCTGAATGTGCGAATTGTGGCCATCATGTTAGGGCAGAAAGGAGAGTGGCAAGACTGATACAAGACAACAGAAGGGCAACAGTGCATCAAATTACTGCAGATCCTAAATCAGGGATCCTCTCAAATGATCTCTGAACGCACTGTTCGCCGTACACTGCATCGTATGGTATATGGAAGCCGAAGGCCTGTTCGAACACCTTTGCTGTCTGCAGTTAACAAGATAAAACGTCTCCAATTCGCACAGGAACACAAGGATGGGACAGTCGAGCATTGGAAAAAAGTCATGTGGTCCGATGAATCACGCTCCCAGTTGCATCATGCAGATGGCAGAGTGAGAATTTGGCGGAAACAGCATGAAAGCATGCACCCGAACATGCACGAGTACAGCCCCTAAAGCTGGTGGGGGCAGTTTTATGGTTTGGGGCATGTTTTCCTGGCATGTTTTCGGCCCTTTAATTCGTGTGGAACAACGTCTGAATAGCGCAACATACCAATGTATCGTTGCTGATCAAGTTCATCCTATCATGTCCATGGCGTATCCCATTGCAGATGGCTTCTTCCAACAAGACAATACGCTGGGGAATACAAGCCTTAGTTAGCAATGGCATGATCTAAATATTCATTTAATTTCTCAATGTCTTTTTTTTATACTATAAAAAAAAAAGAGACATTGAATAATGAAATGAATATTTAGATCATGCTGTTGCTAACTAAGGCTTGTATCCCCCTAGTGAAATAGATGTACAATAGATGTACAATAGATGAGCACATGTCCAGACTCCAGAACAATTAATGTATAGTGTGGCACAGATATATCCAATTCTGTACAACTGGCTTTATATTATTATAAAATTTTGTTTTAATATATTATATACACACACACACACACACACACACACACACACATACATATACATACATACACACATATACACACACATTGCTGTAATTCCATAAATGATTGAAGATTTATTGAACGGAAGACAACTTTCCCCCGTTTCAAAATTAAGTTAAAAAAGGAGAATTATGAGGCGAGTGATTTTCACTCAGCCTCGTAATCTGAGCCGACCTGTGACAATGAAACTGTCACAGGTCGGCTCAGTAGATCGGGAAGTGAGCGAACACATACTGTTGCTCACTTCTCGATCTATCCGTGCAGAGAGCCGTGACCGTCACTCACGGGATCCCCCTCCTCCCCTGTCCGATCCTCCAGCGCTGACTGGCAGAACGGACGAGGGAGGGGGCGGGTACAGCTGGCTCTGCTTCTAGATAGGCAGAGCCAGCTGTCACTCACGCAGCTGGGTGGATCCAGACAGCATTGTCGGGATCCGTTCCGGCTGCGGCGTCTCAGTATACCGCGAGCTGTAGCTTGTGGTATACTGAGCTTTGGGTGACGGGAGGACGCTAGTTTATGTCCACCCGTTACCCTTAGGAGAACTATGGGGAAAAGCACTGACCCCATAGTTCTCCTTTAAGCAACAATACAAATAGAGGAATGTTTATCTTACCTGGTAAGGATATTGAATCTTCTTGTCAGCTTTGCCAAAATATCGAAGTCTGGATTTATGCATTATTCGTACAAGCAGGGGAGGAAGTGACAATTTTGACCTCCATCTTGGCTCCAGCCTCTGTAGTGAACATACTTTGGACACTAGGAGGAAATAGAAACATTGTACATTTACTATATAAAAAACAAAAATTAAGTGGGTAATCTTACACTTGACTATAATTTGTAATTGCAAGGTCTTCATGGAACCTTAAATTTAAAATAAACTTTATACATTCAGCTTTTTAAACATCTTTATGCAGTATAGATTTGTTTTTTTAATACATCTTTATACAGTGCCCTAACAAACTATAGTAATCACATGCAGTTGTAGTCTTGGTTGGGAGTGCACTTGATAGGGTGGCTATATTGGGCTTTAGGGAGACCCCAGAAGGCAGTGTAGTCACCCTTTAGACTGAAGTGTTCATGGCAAGCAATTCCAGTACTCCTTTTCTAGACAAGAAAACACAGAGAAAAACAAGCCAGCATTTTAGCAAGCATGGGAGTGATGCTAACACATTAAACTTGATAGCTCATGGGTGTAACAACACTTCAAAAGGATAAGTGCACTTATCTTTTTTGTTCCTATGAATGGAGCCAACTGATCCCACGCCCCCCCCTCCCCCTCCACAAATGCATACTTACCGAGATTAAACAGGCGCTACTTCCATTTATTTAGATCCAGTGCTGCAAATTCTCTCTCCTGGCTGTACCTGCATATTACAGCTCCATAGACTTCTATAGGGTTCATCTGCTTGGGTTGCGTTGGTCAGAGTATTACCCTTGCAGTGCAGCAGTGGGGGTTTCAGCTGCATGGTGCAATTGTTCACTACCCTGGCATTCAGCTTTAACAATGATATGGATTTGTAATGTGCTAGTTACATTGACAATTTGATGACAATTTTAAAAATCTAGGAAAAAGTATTATGCATTGTTGTGCAACTTTCTAACCATCATTTTTTCCAATTGACATTTGTGCATTCCTAGTTTAATTTTTCCACATTACAGCCAACTACGTTTCGGCTATTTTTTCTTCAAAAGATCAGTGACACTACCTAACTCGCTGCTATAGGTAACAACTGCCATTCATTTTTCAAGCCTTTATACAGATTGCCCATATGTGTCTGTTCTTACAACCAGAATGTGTCTTAACTGCTGCTGTAGTTTCTGTTGTTCTCAAAATGCTGGACTGGAAATGAGCTCACACCATCTGCAGTATATTACAATTAATGAGGACTATTTTCAAAGCAATCATTTTAATGTCACAGCTGAAATGTAGCTAATCATTTAGGAGGTTTGATACAGAAGTGCAGTAAATTGGTTAAGAAAGAAAAACAGCATCTGAATATAGCTGCTAGAGTTTTTACCGATTTAACATATACTTTTATCATGTCCCTGAAAGAGTGAGCTCCAAGCTCATAAGATTAATTTTGGACCATCTAGGTGGCATGACACACCTTCTGTACAAAGATCTTAACTGCTGGTGGCAAGCCTGCTTTAAAAAGGAGAATCATGGGGTGAGTAAAAAACACATTCCCATAATTCAAGCCGACCTGTGACACTGAAGCTGTTGATCGGAAAGTTAGCCAACACATACCGCCGATTGCCGACTCCTCGAACCTCTACCTGCAGAGAGCAGTGACCGTCAGTCACCGTTCCCCGCAGCGATTTTCCCCATTTCCCCCCTCCTCTCAGCGCTGACTAGAGGAATGGATGGGCACGGCTGGCTTTGCTTCTAGAGAGGCAGAGCCAGCTGTCAATCAGCCAGCGGGGTGTATCTCAACAATACTGTTGGGATCTGTCCTAACTGCAGCACGTCTCTATGCCCTCAGCATATAGCGGGCTATACTGAGTTTTGGGTTCCCTGAGGAAATTAGTATATGAAGCTTTTATGTGTGCTTTTTAGCACATTCAGTACTGTACAGTATTATTCAATCCAGCATGGCTCCAAAGAAAGTGCAGAGCAAGCATGGTGGTAAAAAGAATGTGCAGAGCAAGCATGGTGGTAAAAAGAATGTGCAGAGCAAGCATGGTGGTAAAAAGAAAGTGCAGAGCGGTAATGAATTTACATATGGTTCAGAACGGATTAACCTCATTTGCATTGAACCTTATGGGAAAATTTTATTCCGTTCGCAACCAAAAGCGTTCCCTGACAACGTTCGTAGGTGTCAGAACAGTTTAACCTTATTTACATTATATTTTATGGGGAAATTTGATTCTGTTTATGACCAATTCGGTTGGCGACCACAATCGTGGAACGAATTAACTTTGTGAACCGAGGTACCACTGTACAATGGCAGGGGTACTTAACATCCACACTGTTTTTCGTGGATGGGGAAATTGAGCATTACAAGTGTATGGCCAGCTCAACAAATATACTGTACAACTAAAGGCTATAAATACTGCAGCTCCTAAAGTCATGGAGGAGATTATCCATTTCCATTCTATTGCTCATTTTAGAACTGAACTGAACAGAACTGCTATTATAGTTACAAGCCTAACCAACCGCTACATCACATAAGAGGCTACAGCAACAAGACCAAAACCGAGCTTGCAGCAGAAAATATGAGGCCCAATTTGCAGCTTCAGTGGATTGATACAAATAAGCATGGGAGTGATGCTAACACATTAAACTTGATAGCTCATGGGTGTAACAACACTTCAAAAGGATAAGTGCACTTATCTTTTTTGTTCCTATGAATGGAGCCAACTGATCCCACGCCCCCCCCTCCCCCTCCACAAATGCATACTTACCGAGATTAAACAGGCGCTACTTCCATTTATTTAGATCCAGTGCTGCAAATTCTCTCTCCTGGCTGTACCTGCATATTACAGCTCCATAGACTTCTATAGGGTTCATCTGCTTGGGTTGCGTTGGTCAGAGTATTACCCTTGCAGTGCAGCAGTGGGGGTTTCAGCTGCATGGTGCAATTGTTCACTACCCTGGCATTCAGCTTTAACAATGATATGGATTTGTAATGTGCTAGTTACATTGACAATTTGATGACAATTTTAAAAATCTAGGAAAAAGTATTATGCATTGTTGTGCAACTTTCTAACCATCATTTTTTCCAATTGACATTTGTGCATTCCTAGTTTAATTTTTCCACATTACAGCCAACTACGTTTCGGCTATTTTTTCTTCAAAAGATCAGTGACACTACCTAACTCGCTGCTATAGGTAACAACTGCCATTCATTTTTCAAGCCTTTATACAGATTGCCCATATGTGTCTGTTCTTACAACCAGAATGTGTCTTAACTGCTGCTGTAGTTTCTGTTGTTCTCAAAATGCTGGACTGGAAATGAGCTCACACCATCTGCAGTATATTACAATTAATGAGGACTATTTTCAAAGCAATCATTTTAATGTCACAGCTGAAATGTAGCTAATCATTTAGGAGGTTTGATACAGAAGTGCAGTAAATTGGTTAAGAAAGAAAAACAGCATCTGAATATAGCTGCTAGAGTTTTTACCGATTTAACATATACTTTTATCATGTCCCTGAAAGAGTGAGCTCCAAGCTCATAAGATTAATTTTGGACCATCTAGGTGGCATGACACACCTTCTGTACAAAGATCTTAACTGCTGGTGGCAAGCCTGCTTTAAAAAGGAGAATCATGGGGTGAGTAAAAAACACATTCCCATAATTCAAGCCGACCTGTGACACTGAAGCTGTTGATCGGAAAGTTAGCCAACACATACCGCCGATTGCCGACTCCTCGAACCTCTACCTGCAGAGAGCAGTGACCGTCAGTCACCGTTCCCCGCAGCGATTTTCCCCATTTCCCCCCTCCTCTCAGCGCTGACTAGAGGAATGGATGGGCACGGCTGGCTTTGCTTCTAGAGAGGCAGAGCCAGCTGTCAATCAGCCAGCGGGGTGTATCTCAACAATACTGTTGGGATCTGTCCTAACTGCAGCACGTCTCTATGCCCTCAGCATATAGCGGGCTATACTGAGTTTTGGGTTCCCTGAGGAAATTAGTATATGAAGCTTTTATGTGTGCTTTTTAGCACATTCAGTACTGTACAGTATTATTCAATCCAGCATGGCTCCAAAGAAAGTGCAGAGCAAGCATGGTGGTAAAAAGAATGTGCAGAGCAAGCATGGTGGTAAAAAGAATGTGCAGAGCAAGCATGGTGGTAAAAAGAAAGTGCAGAGCGGTAATGAATTTACATATGGTTCAGAACGGATTAACCTCATTTGCATTGAACCTTATGGGAAAATTTTATTCCGTTCGCAACCAAAAGCGTTCCCTGACAACGTTCGTAGGTGTCAGAACAGTTTAACCTTATTTACATTATATTTTATGGGGAAATTTGATTCTGTTTATGACCAATTCGGTTGGCGACCACAATCGTGGAACGAATTAACTTTGTGAACCGAGGTACCACTGTACAATGGCAGGGGTACTTAACATCCACACTGTTTTTCGTGGATGGGGAAATTGAGCATTACAAGTGTATGGCCAGCTCAACAAATATACTGTACAACTAAAGGCTATAAATACTGCAGCTCCTAAAGTCATGGAGGAGATTATCCATTTCCATTCTATTGCTCATTTTAGAACTGAACTGAACAGAACTGCTATTATAGGTACAAGCCTAACCAACCGCTACATCACATAAGAGGCTACAGCAACAAGACCAAAACCGAGCTTGCAGCAGAAAATATGAGGCCCAATTTGCAGCTTCAGTGGATTGATACAAATTTTAATCACAGAGTACACCATGCATTCAGTGCTGCCTGCATGCACAACACAATGAAAAACACAGCGTACATGATTCATAGCCAACTCAAAAGATATACTTATTATTGTGCACTAACATGGTCAATGAAAAAGCTGCAGTTCATTCTGCGTACAACACATTAAATATTGCAAGCAATAGACATTTTACAATAACAGCTACACAGTTGTCAGTCAGCACAAGTAATGCTTTGATTCTAAATAAAAACTCAGACTGTTAGTATATTAATGTCTCAAGAACCCTGGCGTAAGCCACATTGTTAGACTGACATGCTGTTCAAACTGCAACCTAGTTCTAGGTTTTATGTTAAATACAAATGTAGCCCTTCCTGTAGGAATTGTAAGATATTGACACT